AGTTTGGGATGACCTGATGTTCTCTGTGGAATAAAAGGCCCAATGTATTAGGGCTTTCAAATCAAGAAAATACAAAATGCAACCATGGTGATGGAAGGTGCTGATAATTTTGGAAGTCATGCACTTGTAATTTTGGTGGTACATGCATGGGGGCAAGGGAAATCTGAGGACTTTTTGCTCCTATTCATGTGAATGCAAAATTGCTTTTTAAAAAAAGTCCATTTGGGCTGGGGATTTAGCTCAGCGGCATAAGTGCCTGCCTGGCAAGCGCAAGGTTGTGAGTTCAATCCCTGTTACCAAAAAAAGGTCCATTTTTCAAAAAAGACAAAAAGAAAATATAGCTAATAATGCCCACTCTGGAATACTTTCTTCCCCAGTCAGTACTTTCCCAGTTACTACCCTTTTTAAAAAGAGCAATCCCAAGGATCAGGGATTTAGTTCAGCAGCACAGGGGCTGCCTGACAAGCACAAGGTCCTGAGTTTGATTCCCAGCACCAAAAAAAAAGAAACATAGAAAATAAAAACATCTCTATATTAACCACCTATCACCTTAGACCCTCCAAGTTAATTCCTGTTGGTCTCTAAAATTCATGCAGACTACAGCGCATGTACCCAAGAAAGGTACTAGCACATCATCCTGCTCCAGCCTCCTTACTGAACGGTATGATCCTCCCACATGGTACGGACACATCCACCCTGTCCCTTTGTAATTTCCACCGCACAGCATAATATGCATATTCTAGGATTTATTTCTCTACTCCATGCTTGACTTATTGGCTCTTACAAGAATTACGGTGAACACCTTTATCACACAAATCTTAGTGGACTTTTGCTAGCAAAGGCAAAGGAATTTGCATTTAGCAACCTTGATAGATGTTGTCAGTGGCTCTCCAGAAAAGCTGCACGTTCCCACTAATGGGCTACACATGAGTGCCTACTCCCCAAACCTATGCCAGTATTGACCATCACCAAACTCTTATCAAAACCACCCCATATTACATTGTATTCCCCTAAAGTCCATAAGCTGAAACTCACTACCCAGTCTGATGGTATTAAGAGGTTGGGGTCTTTGTGGGTAACTAGGTCATGAGGGTAGAGCCCAGAGAATGAGATGAGTGCCCTTGTAGAAGCACTGCCTTGCCCTGTCCATCATATAAGGACACAGCAAGAGGCAGGGACTCTCTGCAGAAGAGCTTGAACTTCTGGCCAGTCTCCAAAACCATGTATTTCCTGTCTATATATGCAAGGGTCCTCCAGAAAAACAGATATAGTAGAAAATGATAAATAGATGATAGATACATTGATAGATAGATGATTGATAGATAGATGGAATGGAGGAGGGAGAGAGACACTGATTTGTATCCAATGAATTGGCTTACACTTCCTGTTCAGTCTGGCCAAGTCCAGAATCTACAAGGAAAGCCAGACAGCTAGCAACTCTCTGACAGCAGCAGATGCTGCATGTTTAAAGCAGAATTTCTTCTTCCTCCGGGAAACTTCAGTTCCACTGATAAAGTCTCTCAGTTAACCAGGTGAGGGCCACCCAGATTATTGAAGACTCGAGGTCAACCATCTATAGATGACCACCGCATCCACAAAATTCCTCCTCGGCAGCATCTGTACTGTGTCAAGCAGCACACCTAGAACTGGAGCCGAGCCAGGCTGACGATCATGGGTACCCACACAGAAAATATAGCTGTTTCCACTCTTCATTCATTTTCTATTGAGGTTTTCTTTGAGTTGTATTGTAAGAGATGTTAACCCTGTAACCCTATGTCTTCCAAATGTTTTTTTGGTCATTTCTCGTGCAATTTGGTTTTTAGTGTCTTCTGCTCACTGAAGGATTTTTGTTTCTATGCAGCAGATCTATTGATGTTTTCCTTGATGGTATCTGAATCTCCTGACTGGCTAAGAATGGCATCAGAGTCATTTTAGGCACCATGGGAATCACCTGTTCATTGAGGTTTTCCAAATGCTGCCCAGAATGATAGAGTCAGAGGAAAGCAATGCACTTAGAATTAGCCTGGCCCTTTCAGAAAGCCTTTCACTGAAGGACAGCGTATCCTGAGGCCCCTGTGTCTATCAGTGGTTGACACAACAGCCATAGGAAAAGCTTTGCACCTGCTGCAAAAAGCCAACTGCCCATTTTATCACTTGAGGCCCCTTATACAAGTGTCTGTGTAACAGATTCCTCTGAGGATCCCATGCCAGGAGAAATTAGTCACTGATGAAAAGGATCCAGGCATTCTTTATGGTACAAGTACCAGAGACACTATCCGGTTCCCCAACTTTTCTTTTCTTTTTTTTTTCCCTTTTTTTAATTTTAAAGAGAATAAAACCAAGCAAAACAAAACAGAACCATGCCAATCAAAACAAACCAGTGTGACACAGGACTTCAAAACAATAAGAAATCAACAATGGTTACCATAATGCCTCCTGCTCTCATCAAAATAGCTGCAGATACCTTCAGACATAGTAAAAATCAAACAGAACAGAACAGAATAGAACCAATAAAAACAAAACAATGAATGCAATAAAGGACTTCAAAACAAGGTAATAGTAAATATAAATGGCTACTATTATATCTTGTTATCTTTAAAATAGCTGCCCATGCCATCAGACACAATAAAATCAAAACAAAACAAAACTGAACAAAACCCAATCCAACAAAACATTGAAATGATACAGGACTTCCAAACAAGACAATAGAAAATCAACAGCGGCCACCACTCTGAGAAGGCGATTCCCCAGAGATGCTGTACTGTGTATTGCCATTCTCTGAATAGATGATCAAATCACCAGTTTTAGACCTGCAAAGTCAGGGCAACACTAAACACTATAAGCATTAAATTGTATTCCACCTCAACAACCAGCATCTCAACCTGTTTCTCTGGATTAGCTGGTTGCCTATAGTGGGCACGAGGCTGGGTGGGTTGGCTCTTCTTGTTTCCCAGCCTGTGTGCTGAAAAGGGCTGGCATCTGGCTCTCCCCTCAGCAGCCTGTGTGTGGCGCTGATTCACAGGAGGGCTTGCTTCTTTTTTTTCTTTTTTCCGATGCCGGGGAGGCAGGTACTTATGCCGCTAAGCTAAATCCCCAGCCCCAACTTGCTTCTTGTTGACTTCCGGCTCCCCAACTTTTCTTCGCTGCCAGGAAACCTAGACTCAGATATAATGCTCAAGCACCAAGCCTGGGTGAGGATGTACCTGATCCCAAACCACACTCACCCCGTCCTTTCCACACTTCCTGAAACCCTCTCTTTGGCTGTCTCTTGTAAAAGTGGATTTTGTTTGCATGACTTCAAATCCCCTTTGTGGAAGAGGAACAAACGCAGACATAAGCAAAATTAATTAAGCAGAGCAAACCAGGACAATTGTACAAATCACGAATTACGAAGATGTTGACACAAGGTTTTGGTCAGACCCATGATTAGCTTTTAAATGCTCATAAATGAACTGGAAGAGAGAAAGCACAGTGAAACATCTGGAGAAAAATCAAGGAGATCTTAGAGAGGGGAAAATAATTCAGCAATGTTTATAAGATAAGCAGCTCTGAATTCTCCACAGTAGTCCAGAACAACAACAGCAAAAAAAACAAAAGCTGCCAGCAAAGGTCCAGAGAAGGACTATTCCCCATGATGAGCACAGAAAGGAACAAGAATTCTTCACCCTGAAGAGAAAAACCTAAAGGGAAAGTTAGAATTTCCTGCCCTTTAGGAAGTGAATGAGGTGAACACGCATGAGTTTTTCTTCACCTTCTGAAATATTCTCTCTAGGAAGAATAATTTAACTGAAGAGGTTAAATTTGAGATATAAATGAACAAAGCCACTGCTGGTAGCATACAACGGTTCTCTGTAACCCAGAAGGAAATGAAAGCAGACAGTTTGGTTCAGGAGGTGGAGATGGGAGAACTACAGAGAATGGCCCAAGTCAGCATCAAGCTTAGGTTCAACCTGTGCCGATACCAGTTTCCTACAGTGCGTCGCTCAGAGCCTCGCAGGGCCGGGGCCTGCGGGCCTGACCCAAAGAGGCCTGACAGTCTTCATGCTTTTGTGTCTCGGTGGACCCCGTGAAGGTTTGCACCTCCTCAGTCTTTCCAAGGACCTCCGATGTTTGTCTTTGGAAAGTGGCTACTGCCCTCTTGGAAACCAAGGCATCTATCCACTCACCCTTCACAGTGTGCTGATAGGGACAGCCTCTGAATTCACAGATATTTCCTCTCTGTTGCTTATGACTTTCTTTTAAATATTTCCTCTGAGTTTCCAGGCTAAGTCTCACCCCTTGCCTCTCCCAGTACAGACCTCCCAGAGTAGCCTCTCTCGTTCCCTAAAGCTACTTGTTTCATTCCATGGACTGGTTTTTATGGCCAGCACATATGGGCGATCCCCGGACTTCATGTTAATTCTGGCCTTCTAAGGAGAAGATGCCAAAAGGGAAGGAAATGCACAAGGATTTTATTAAAGAATTGCCTATGAGAGAAACGGGGCTAAGAGATGGGAAGCCTGGAGGGCCACACCACAGTGCAGGTCAGACACCCTCTAGCTGAGGCCACGTATCAGAGGAGCCCTGGGTCTCCCGGGACAGGCCTGCCTCAGCATCCCGGCCATGCTCTGCCTCTACTTGGGAATCCCCTGTGGCAAGCACAGCCCCACACAGATGCGGCAATGGTGCACTCAGCACACAGCAGCAAGGACTGTGGGTCAGCGGCAGCCCCATGGTGAGAAGTCTGGGAGGCCCGTTGCCAGGGTCATTTCAGATGTTCACTAACTAGGGTTCAAAGGAGGTTTTCTCTATACCTTTGTGCCTTTTTAGTGACTTCAAGAGAAAGTCAAGAGGTGGGGGCATCCATGGTTTCTATGCCTGAGTATCCACGTATGTGTGTGTGTCTACAAGGGCCTTCAGGTTTGTATGTGATTGCAAAAAACCAGATCCTGCAGCCACAACTGAATCTCAAAGACCGATCCAACCACAGTCCTCACTCTCCTTCCTGTGCTCCCTTCCAGACCATCCTGGTGGGTGACAGCGGTGTGGGGAAGACATCTCTGCTGGTTCAGTTCGACCAGGGCAAGTTCATTCCGGGCTCCTTTTCGGCAACTGTGGGCATCGGATTCACAGTAAGCAGTCACCAGCACTTTGGGGGTCCCGTGTGTCTCTATCAGGACATCGGCAAAAATACGCGGGCTCTCTGGGGGCCATTCAAGGTGGCCAGATGAAAAGACTCTTTCCTGAGTGGCACGCAGGTACCAGCCACCAGAGTGTGGGGCAGCACCCTTGGGTAGTGTGCAGGGAGAACGGTGCGTTCCACTTCAAGCCCAAAGATTACCCAATTCAAGTGACCCAAAAGAACGCGGCAGGCACAGTGAAGGGGGCGTGGTGCATCCCGGGTGGGGGTGTACTCACATTCTAACTGCGGCTGCCACCATCCTGTGCCCAGGTAGATGCAGGGCTTAAATCCAGACTTCAGTCTTCGGCCTGCTGACTCCCTAGGACACGTGCAACAGTGCTGAGTTCACACTGTGCTTCCAGTTTTGTCATTTCTTTGTCCCTCCAGATTCTTCTTGGCAGGTAGCTGACCCGAAAAATCCACCAAGATACCCCTTTGCTTTCCACTTCTAGCTGTGGTAACCCACAGGAGCTCCAGAAGAAAAGAGGGCAAGGGGGTTCGCCCCTCTCTCACACTGTCTCAGAAAAGCAGACGTTATTTCGTGGCCAGCGTGGGTATTCGTGATCCCCTGGGACAAATCAGAACATAGGACCTATGAGGTTGTGTATGAGCTCGGGACCCAGGGTGCCATATTAAAGGGAAGCAAGAGGGGAAATCAGGAGACAGACTTGTCCCTTGAGTCTCTGTCAGGGAAACAAGGGACCAGGCTGCACTGGGCCTCAAGGAGACTGTAGAAGAACAAAGGAGAGCGGGCCAAGTGTGGGCCTGGAATCTGCTCGCCAAACTGCTGCACCCAATACTCCTGAAACTGAGACTAGCTGGGCCCGGGAGGACAGGGCAGGGCTTGGTCTCAGGAGGCCCAGGCAATCCTCCAGGCTTTGGACCGGGCTGCCGGAAGTGAACAGGATGTTCTGGTGCCACAGGCCACTCACCCCGGGCCATGCCTAGTCTGCACTCATGGTCACACCCACATCTCCTGGCCCTCTGCCTTTCTAGGAGGGCAGCGAGGGGTGGACATGGATGTGCTTGTAAACTCCATAGACTTCAGGGGTTAGAGCTCTGAATTTTGTTACTCATTTGGAAAGACAAGTGAGGGGAAACTCCTATGAGCAAGAAGAGAGTGTGTGATTGGATCAAGGGCCAAAAGCAGCCTGAGCCAAAGCAAGCACTCCCCACCCACCTCTCTCTCTGTCTCTCTCTCTCTCTCTCTCTCTCTCTCTCTCTCTCTCTCTCTCTCACACACACACACACACACACACACGCCTTGGGATGGCACTCCTGACTCTCTGCCTGGCCCCACCCAGCATCCTGACAGCTAGCAGCTTATGCTGGGTGAGGCCAGAGCCTGGCCACACCAGATCGAGGGCATGACCTCGGTCACAAACAGGTGCAAGTCTGCCCCACAGTTGAGCCCCTAATTCAGGAGTCACACACACACACATACACACACTGGCTGTGGCAGGCTGTAAACAGGAACCATACAGAGCACACACAGCAGGCCCAGCACAGCCCTTACCTGCAGCCAGAAAGCCCCAGCTCCACATTGCTACAGCAATGTCTACAGCCCAGGACCCCTTTCCTGCCCCTCTGCCCAGTGCAAGGGACCCTCATTTCCTTCCTGCCCAGCTCTCCACTCAGAACAGCTGAGGCACAGCAGTGAGTTTCCTGTGTCCTGCTGGGCAAGAGGCTGGAGGACTTAGGGGTCCCTTCAAATATCCATAGTCTAGGGGTCCCACACAGCCTGGCTACATTCTTTTGCTTATCAATCTGTCATTCACATGGAAGTTTTTGGTTTGGTTTGGTTCAGGTCAGTTTGGTTTGCACAGGGTCTTGCTCAGGCTGGCCTCAGACTCACAGTCTTGGTCTTCTAAGGCCAAGCAGGACTTTCAGGGTTCCATCACCGCAAGTGATGGGCCTGGAATCTGCTCACCAAACTGCTGCACCCAATACTCCTGAAACTGAGACTAGCTGGGCCCGGGAGGACAGGGCAGGGCTTGGTCTCAGGAGGCCCAAGCTGCCAAGCAATCCTCCAGGCTTTGGACCGGGCTGCCAGGAAGTGAACTTTAAATATAGCACCCAGCTGGCAATTTTCCAGTCTCCTAGGCCTGTGCCTAACTATACCAGAGGTCTGGTGTGATGGTAACCAAGGCAGAAGGGGCCAGCAAGCTCCCACCAGCCCAGCTTAGGGGGCCAAATGCAGCCTAAGTAGGAGGGGAAGGGGCCACAGAAGGGAACAGAGTGATCATCTGGGTGCACCTTTAAGTCTCCTCTGGAAAAGGGGCCTGTGCAGGTCTTCTGTAGATGCCTCTGGAATCCAGGTCTTCCCCAAATCCTCCATCACCAGCCCCGTCACACTAACTGTAGAGTCCTGCTGATGGATTTACAGGGGCGCTGTCCACGGGGTTCACACGTTGGCCTTCCACCAGCCTCTGTCCTGCTCAGATCAGACTCTGCCTGTCTCAATGTTCCCCAAAGTCCCACCAGCCCAGCTTAGGGGACCAAGTGCTCTAAAATTCATCTCCAAAAGCCTTGCCCCATCAGGCATGGTGGTGCACTCTTGAAATCCCAACACTCAGGAGACTGAGGCAAGAAGATTACAAGTTTGATCACAAGTTTAGCATGACCTTGGAGCAAAATAAAAGGCTAACCTTTGGTGACTCACCAGCGCCTTCCAAAAGCCTCAGGCTTTTCACTTGCTAGTCAAGGTGCTGTGCAGCTTAGGCTGGTAGTCTTCACACCCTTGTTAAGCATACAGAAATGTCTCCAGGGGAGCTGCATGTGAGGGTGCACACAAAACCCCAGCACTCTGGGAGGCTGAGGCAGGATCACAAATTCAAGCCCAGCAGGGGCAATTTAGCAACTTAGTTAATACTCTCTTAAATTTTTAAAATGACATAAAAAGACTGGGGATGCAGCTCAGTGCAAAGGTCATGGATTCCATCCTCAATCAATAACAAAAAAGAAAAGAAAAAGAGAAAAGAAGGGAAGGGAAAGAGAGGGGAGGAAAGGGGAGGGAAGCAGGCCAGGCCAGGCCTCCGGGAGACAATCTGAAATGCCGTCTCCAAATCGCTTCAGCAAGCTCACACAAGCTGCTGCAGCAAGTCAGAGAGGAGTCTGTGCGGGTATCTGGGTGAGACGCAACATGTGCGGTGTGATATGAAGTCTTTGTGCCACAGTGCAGGCCACTGGGGTGTGAGCACGTGTGTTTGTGGTACGAGTGGTGTGTGTGTGTCCTGGCTTCGCTTTGGGTGGTTTGTTGCAGTGGTTGACTCTGTTTTGCTTTGCCATACTGGGGACTGAACCCAGGGCCTTCCCACCCAATTACAACCCCAGCCCTTTTCTTTGTCTTATTTTTAGACAAGGTCTTGCCGGGCTGGGCTCAAGCCAGCAATCTCACCTCAGCCTCCCAGAGTGTGGGGTCACAGATGTGCACCACCACACTCAACCGGAAGGGCTTCATCCCTCTGCTACTCTGGAGGCTTCATGCTGAGGGATTCAGTCTCTTCCATTCCAGACCAACCGCAGGATCTATTAGGGTCTGCACGGCTGCAGCCTAGAAGTGCAAAATCAAGGTGTCAGCAGGGCCACATGCCCCCTGCTCTGCCGGGGGAGAGGGGAGAACCCTTCCTAGTCGCCCGACAGTTTCTGGTGTCTCCAGCAGCCCTTGGCGCTCTTTGCCTGGGATTGTTGGGAGCCACTAGGGAGACCCCAGCCTCTGCCTCTGTCTTCACATAGCCGTCTGCTTCCTGCGTCCCTTTCCACATGAGACGCCAGTCATTGGATGAAGGACCCACCCCACCCCAATAGGACCTCATCTTTAATCACATCTGCAAAGGCTCAATTTCCAATAAGGTCAAATTTGGAGGACACAATTCAATCCATAAGAGCACAGCTTAAGGGGACAGTGAGAGACAACCATGTCCGTCTTCTTCCTCTCTTGCACTGAATACCCAAGACCCGGCAGGGTTCTCGTGTGTGCTCCCTGGAGCTGGAAGCTCCTGGCATTGAGCATATTGGCATTGGCCCTTGTTTATAGCAACAGCCTCTGGCAACGACAGGGCACATCTCTTAAGTGCTGGGCAGCCCCCACTTTCTGTGCCCGGCTCCCTGTTGAGCCTATCCTATGAGGCTGAGACATGCTCATCTCCACAAAAACTGCCCTCTGCTGGAGATTCTTTCTGTCCCTATTCTTCCATTGGCCATAAACCAGCTCCAGCTGATGCCAAAGACTGAGGCTTGTGTGCACACAGTCTGGGCCCACCACATCCTTGGTCTTCCCCCTCACCCCTGGCCCTGCAACCCCTAAGTTAAGATGCACAGGGGCCCCTCCCTTCCCTGTACACCCCCTCCAACAACCCCTTTGTCTGGCACCCCAGCTTTGTACAGAATGAGATGAGAGCAACGGAATGGGTGGCCAGGCCACAAAGCCTGGAACCCACTACAGGCACCCCAAACACGTCCTATCCTTTCTCACCAGGAGCTGCGGGGTCCTAGGACTCAACACAAAACTCTACACAGAAAGATCTATTAGCCAGGTTCTGGGGCGCAGCATACCTTTAATTCCAGCACTTAGGGAAGCTAAAATAAGAGAGGTTTTAAGTTCAACCCCAGCCTGGGCAACTTAGCGACTTAGCAAGAACTTTTCTCAAAATTAATAAATAAGGTCTGGGGATGTAACTCAGTATAAATATCTTGGGTTCAATTTCCAGCACCCCCTCCCAAAAAGATCCATTAATTCATCTAGCACCTTCTCCATAGCAAGCTGAGTGCCCCACGTGAATAAAGCCGGCCAAGCCTTCAAGAGCTGTGCCACACACACCTGCACAGACACCCTAAGTTGCATAGCCCACGTGCTGGGTATTTCCCCTGGGCACAGTTCAGCGAAGCGCGGGGGCGGGGGGGCTGATCCATGCTAAAATAAAGGTCAAAGTCCTCGCCACAATCCTGCTGCGCAAATGCTCTCCTAGGTGAATATCGGTCGGTAAACAAAACTATATCCCGATGACCTCGGGCTGCGGTGCATTCGCAAAAATGAAACTGCCTCGGTGCTATCCGCAGAATGGGCGCCGCGCTGGCACCAAGCAGCCCACCAAGTTCCACAAGGTCCGCACGCAGTTACCTGTGGCCAGCAGTTTGGCCGGAGCTCGGGCGCCACCTGCCGGCCACGCTGAGCAGCGGCAGCGGGCACCGCGGCGCGCGTCCCAGGCCAGGCCAGACTTCTTTGCAGCAGGCGAGGTCTCTCAGCCCGCTCCCTAAACCCGCGGGCACCTAACCCCGCAGCTGGCGACCTCGGGGCCGTTCCTGGGGACAGGTTTGGCCTGTGCGGTAAGAGCATGAAGGGGCTGGGGGTTTAGCTCAGCGGCATAAGCACCTGCCTTGCAAGCAGGCGGTCGTGAGTTCGATCCCCGGTACCGATAAAAATGAAAAAGACAAAAAAAAAAAAAAAGAGCATGAAGTCCTGCCAGTGTTGTTCAGAGGGCCTGTCTGCGCCTTGGATGCAGACACCCGGTTTCCGTGCGCCCTAGAGGGACAGACGATTTGGGGCGGGCGCTGCCCGGGCGGTGGCAGGACGAGGGGAGGAGCCTGTCCGGGTCCCGGCCAGGGGGTGGCTGGGAAGGACAAGTAGGTGGAGCCTGGGGCGGGGCGGCTCGTGCTCTCCTGCGCGCTCCCTCGCTCGCTTGCCCGCCTAGCTCACCTCCCGTCCGGGGACATGACGGGCACGCCCGCCGCCACCGCTGCCGCCGGGGATGGCGAAGGCCCCCTGCGCTCCCCGCCCTGCAGTCCGAGCTACGATCTCACGGGCAAGGTGGGTGGGCGCTGCGCCCAGGGCTAGGGTCTCCATGCCGGTTCTGAGGGGCACCCCTCCCCGCGCCCTCTCCGGCACACGCCCCTCTCTGGCTGCATCTAAATTGGGCTCTGCCCTTCCCCAGGCAGCCAGATGCCCTAGAGCGAGGGAGGGAAGCTCAGGATGTAGCCCTGGGCCCCTCTCAGCCTCTAGGAAAGTGGGCTGCGTGGGTGACACGGGCAAGAAAGATGAACCGGACTGAGTAACCTCCCACCCTGCTGACCTCAACTCATTTTCTCCTGCCACCCTTTGGCCCACAAGAGCCACAGGAGCCCCTCGGCTTTGGGTAAGGGTTAAGCTCACTGCCTGCCTGGGCACAGGCTAGGAAGAGCTAGGAAATGGGGGGGGGGGGGCTTGCAGACTCCAAGGGCGCCGCCTGTCTGTGGAGCAACTTAAGTGCCCTTTTGGGGGGGCCACCCTCTCATCTATGTTCAAGGCCTTAGGCTTGCAGCTCTTTAGGTCCCCAGCCAGTGGTTCCAAGTCCTGCCCGCTTTCCTGCCAGGACTTCAGAGATCACTCCCTTCCTCCCAGCAGCAGAACAGGCCCCTCTTTCCAGGAAGCTGTTGCCAACCATCTTGCAGGCCCAGGAATTTTTAGAACCTGAGAAAGATCTCAGCAATTGTCTCCATCTCCACCACCTGGGAAAGCTGCAAGGCCACTCGCTCAGGCACGTGTGATTTGCATGGTGCCCTATATGGAAGCAGGAGGCGACAGCATGGACACTCGGTTGTCTCCCCCACTATGTGTGTCCTTAGAATAAGCAAGTTCAAAATGTTGAAAGAAGCCAGGCGTGATGGTGCACGCCTGTGATGCCAGCACTCAGGAGGCTGAGGCAGGAGGATGGCTGGAGGCTGGAGGCAGCCTGTGCTACATAATGAGCTCACTGCCAGCCTGACCTGCATAGTGAGACCCTGTGTCACAAGACAAAGAATGCTGAAAGAGATGCTGAGTTCACTCTTCCTCTGCAGATTGGGGGAGGGGGAGCAAGAGGAGTGAGTCTTGTCATGTTGCCTTGCGGACACCTGCCTCTTTCTGTCCCCCACACCAGATCTCACTCTCACTGGGAGCACTGGGCCCCCCAGTGCTGGGAGCCGAAAGTTTCAGGGGAAGCTACTGTGCCAGCCACCCACCAGAGCCGTTGAGATAGGCGTCCTGTGTGGGCTTGTGGCAGGAAATGGGCCTCTGATCTCTCTGAGGATGGGGAGCCGCAGATGGCCAGCCCCCAGGCTGCTGAGGACCTCCAGACCTCGTTGCCCGACAAGCCAGCTGTGCTGTCTGCCTACAGCTGGGAAGGCTGAGCAGCTGTTTGTGTTTGGTAGACAAGCCTGGCGGTGTGGTTGGCTGCATCACCTGCCTGAGGCCGCTGTGATCCTATAGCACATAGGCATCGGCCCTGCCACCCTCCTCCTGTCTCAGGGGCTAGGACCTAGCCTGGCCAGGTAGCATCTTCAAAAGAGTGCCCTCCCCCTGTACCCCCCCCCACACACACACCCTCCCGAACGCCTGCCCAGGCCTGTCTCGGGACAGTCTGGGAGGAGCCTAGGCAGGCTCCTAGGCAGGCAGTACTTACCCGCAGGCCACTCTTCTGTGTCCAGAGACTCCATGCCACATTGCCCTAGCCATTCACAGATTCTCGAACAGCCTCCAAGAAATGATCCCTCCTATCTATCTACTGTGGAGACCATGGGACAGGCTTTCCAGTCACAGAGTAGACCACTTATAAGCCTTATGCCCCTTCTGCTCAGCACCCCTCTCTCTACAGAGTTGGCTAATACCAGTACATTGCAGCCATGGTACAAAAGTCAGATTCAGAGTCCCAAAAATTACCCCAGCCTACTCCCTCCTGTACGCACTGAACGGTCTGCCAGGCAGCTGGACTCCTGTTCCCTGGGGCCTCCCCACCCCGCCCCTACAGGTTCTGTGGAGAAGCAGCGCAGGGCAGTAAAGGGGAGGACCACCCTCCTTACCTGCGGCAACCCCAGGAGAGCTAGCTTGGGACATTTGCCCCACGCGTGGGAAATTTCTGCCAAGAGAACTTCAGTCTCCCCATTACAGCGTAAATTTCAACTTTCCCTCATTCAGGCGACTCTTTTGTAAACAAATGCTGTGATTCAAAATGAAACCCAAACGAGAGTACTTTCAGAATATGCCTGTGCTGGCACCTGTCCCACCCCCATGCCCTCTGTCTTCCTAGGCTCCCTTGGGCGGGGACCCTGTCTGAGATATTTTTCCCTTTCTCAGCCCTGAAGCCCCACCCACACGTAGACACCGGAGTGGTAAACACCCAGAAGGATGGAATCACTGCACCGGGCAGTAGTGACGCATGAAGGTGGCTAGCTAGAATCACATGTGGCCATGGTCACTCAATTATGAGGGGTCCCTGAGGATATTTAGAGGTCTCAACATGGGCTTTCAACACACTGGACAAGACCAGGAGGGTGAGGAGAGCCAGGAATCTTGGAGAAGGGAGGAGACAGCTGTAGGCTCCCCAGAGAAAGGGGTCATGAGGTGCCATGGACGTCTTTTCTGTCTGGCCCTCTCCCCTCCTCTACTCCTCTTCCCAGGTTATCTTTCCCTGGAACCCCAGAAGCCCCTTTCATCCCCCAGTGCCCATTAACTGCCTTTGCCCCATCTCCTAGGTGATGCTTCTGGGAGACTCAGGTGTCGGCAAAACCTGTTTCCTGATCCAATTCAAAGATGGGGCCTTCCTGTCCGGGACCTTCATAGCCACGGTCGGCATAGACTTCAGGGTGAGGTGGCTGTAGGTTCCTCCTCTGAGCAGTGAGCTGGGCTTTGGCAGCTCGGGCTCAGGGCAGCTGTCCTCTCCAGGCCCCTGAGAACCCCTCTGTCTGGCTGCCTGGAGGTCAGCAGGGCAGCGTCCCTGGGAAACACAGAGGAGGCCAGGTTGGAGGAGCCTAGGCAAGGTTGGGGCCTTGTCCAGCTACAGGACATGAAATCAAGACCAGGTCCTCCTGTCCTCTGCTGCTGGCTGGAGGCAGGGAGGGGAAGGAAGTGCCCCACTGTGAACAGAGCATCCCGCTGTGTCTGCTGAGTGTCTTGGCCCTGCAGGACCCTTGCTCATAGCCCTGTGAGCCACGCTCCTATGGCCAGGCTTCCAAGGTCAGTGAGTCTCCTGGAGTTGCCCTGCACTGGGCTTAGTTGCTAGCCTGTTCAGGTGGGGACACAGCAGCTGGACAAGCCCCTCCCTCTGCCTTGGAGGACTCCCTCTCTACAAATCTGCCTCAGAGCCTGAGTACCCCAAACCAGAGGGCCCAGGAAAGGGAGGGTCCTGTTCCACAGAGGCCTGGTGCTGCTTCCAAGGGGGCAGACACTGCAGCTGCGTTAGGGGAGCCAGAGGAACGTGTCCTGGGTATCCAGCCCCTAAGGGCCTTAGAACGCTGTTAGGTTCCTTCCCCGCCCTCCCTTCCCCTCCCTTCCCTTTCCCTCCCCCTTTTTCCTTTCTTCCCCCTCCCAGTAATGTGGAGTGGAACTGGAGTCTTTGCACTAAATTATATCCCCAACCCCACCTTTTTTTTTTTTTTTTTTTTTTGAGATAAAAGTCTTGCTAAATTGCTGGGCTGGGCTCCAATTTTCAGTCCTCCTGCCTCAGCCTCCCTGAGTACTGACTGGGATCACACACTTGTGTGCCACCATGCTCAGCTCAGGCACTTCATCTCTAAGGGCTTGGTGACAGCCACGGAGCTGAGCTCTGGGGCAGTGCCAGACAGCTTCTCAGGCTCCCCTTGCCCTGCTGTGTTTTGAGAAGAGAGGGGCTCCCCGGAAATGGGGACTGTACAGTGCTGGTGACTGGGGACAGGGCTCCCACGACCCTGATGGAGTGACCTGGCTGAGATGACCTGGCTGAAGACGCCCCCTGTAGGCCTAAAGGGACCAGGACAAGATGTGGGCAGAGCCTGTTCTGCCCTGCCCATCCTCTGCCCTTTTCTCTTTCAGAACAAAGTGGTGACAGTAGATGGTGCCAGGGTGAAGCTCCAGGTGAGCCCTGAGGCTGGGGCGGGGAGGGAGGACGAGGAGTGGCCTTGCTCCTCACCCTGAACCACAGGAGGCCTGCGCCCTGCCCTCAACCTGGGGTAACTTCCTGTGGGGCCCGCTAGAGGAAGCAGCTTTTGTTTCTTTGATGTCTGTAGAGAGGCAGCTCAAAACTGCCTTTAGAGGAGCTTCACCTCCCTCCCTCCCTCCATTGTGTTTCCCCCCCACCCCCATTTCCTGGGCTTCTATTGCTGGAGGGGGCCAGCGCCCCACCCCAGGCTGGGGAACAGCAGACAGCTTGAAAGGACTTGAGGAGCCACTAACCACCACTGTCCAGGATGTCACCACACCTAAAATGCCCATGAGAACCTGGAAGAAAACAGACCCCTGCCCACAGATACATTCACCCCTCAGTGTGGCCCTCTTGCCAGCAGTCCCCAGACCTGCCGCCTTCCAGCCTCCCCTCTGCCCCTTCCTAGATCTGGGACACGGCAGGGCAGGAGCGCTTCCGCAGTGTCACCCACGCCTATTACAGAGACGCCCAGGGTAAGGCTCTGCACCCACTAGCCCTTCCCCAGCTCCTCTGGGGCACCCGTGCTGCTGCTCTGAGCCCCTGTCATCTCTCTCTCATCCTCCAGCCTTGCTCCTGCTGTATGACATCACCAACAAATCTTCCTTCGACAACATCAGGGTAAGCCCCCCTCCAGGCACCCTCTCACCTATAAGCAGCCAAGGCAGGGCCTATGCAGGAATGAGGCACCACCTGCCAATAAGCACCTAGCTGGAACCAGGCATCTGACTGTCATATGGGCATGGAATCCAGGCAGGCTGCTGTGCCCCTATGCTGCCTGCATAGTCCTGACTGTGATGCAGGGGTGTGTTTTCATGTCAGAGAATTCAGAGTAGCCCCAGCACTATGCTGGACAGAGACATGGGGGAGAACCCAGCCAGGAAAGGCAACAAGTACCTCCAGTCTTAGATACAGCTTTAACTGTATCTAAGAGACATTCATTTAGTAAATTTAAACACTAAGCTGGGGCTTGATGGTGCATGCCTATAATGCCAGCTAGGGAGGCCGAGGCAGGAGGATGGCAAGTGGGGCAACTTTGCAAGACTGTCTCAAAATTCAGTTGCAAAAAGGGCTGGGGATATAGCTCAGTAGTAGAGCACTTGCCTCCGGTTTGATTCTTTAGCAATACAATACATAAACAAAGGTTAACACTGATGCTGGGCACAACATTATTAGAGGTTTCGGGTGTCCCTGGGATGCCCAGGGCAGTATACTGAAGGACAAATACACAAGACACAAAAAGAATGGAAAATCCCTGTCATACCTTCAACCCCATGTTCGTGGCAGACGTCATTAATCATTCACAGTACTTTTGGTCACTGAGCCCTGTGTAGTCTTAGAATCCTCAACAGGTCGCAGCAGGAGCATGGTGGCCTGGGTTAGCCTTGGCCTGGCTCAGCTCGACCTCTCTCTCAGGCCTGGCTCACCGAGATTCACGAGTACGCCCAGAGGGACGTGGTGATCGTGCTGCTGGGCAACAAGGTGAGTGGCCCTGCGGCAGGTCCACCCGCCCTGCCCCTCCCCTGCCGTTGCCAGCCCCATATCACCCAGGAAAAGCCTTCTAGACACCCTTCTTTGCAGGACCTGCTGGTCTCCACTTCAGGAGTCAGACACATCCTAAGGGTTCCCAGTGCCTTCTTAAAGCTTGGGAAACGGCCCCTCCCAGGGAAGGCCCGCGTGCCACCCTACATTAGATCGTAGGGATCAGGGATTGATTGGGAAGGGTTAGGTGCCACTGCTGTCACCACACCTTGGCCAACAAGAGTTACCCACTAAAGCTGGCCCCCAGCCAATCACAGCCGCCGCAGTCCCTCAGGCCACCAGCAGAGGGCAGGCAGTGCAGGCTTCTGGGGGCAAAAGATGGGCCAGCTTGGGTTAAGATTTCCTCCCCCAATGACTTGCATGGGCTTGACAGGCGGATGTGAGCAGCGAAAGGGTGATCCGTCGGGAGGACGGAGAGACTCTGGCCAGGGTAAGTGACAGCCAGGAGGGTGGGATACATGCTGGGCAGCCAGAAGCTGGCCCTGAGGACACTCTCTCCCGGGCAGGAATACGGCGTTCCCTTCATGGAGACCAGCGCCAAGACCGGCATGAACGTGGAGTTAGCCTTCCTGGCCATTGCCAGGTGAGAGCTGAGCTGGGACTGGGATGGAGCAGGAGCAAGAGCAGGGCGCGGAGGCGCTGGGGAATCCAGCAGGGCTGAGCTCCTAGGCCCACATGCGTTCTGCATTTTAGTTCCATTTGCCGCCCCACCCCCAGCCATGGGAATGGGGGTGGGCATGCTCAGTGCACCACACCCCACCCAGGCCATTGCTATTGCTCTTCCAGGGAGCTGAAACACCGGGCAGGGCAGCACGCTAAGGAGCCCAGCTTCCAGATCCGAGATTATCTGGAGTCCCAGAAGAAACGCGCCAGCTGCTGCTCTTTTGTGTGACTCCCAAGGGGCTGAGAAGAGATCCCAGAGGCCCTCAGGATATAGCTGTCTCCCCAACACTGGCTTATTTGGAGAGGCTGAGTCAAGGAGAAGTCAAGAGGTCCAGTACACAGCCCTTTCACCCAGGCAGCTGTCTCAAAGGTCCCAGCCCTCTTCCTGTAGCTTCCTGTATCCTGGGGAAAGGCTAAATATTTTATCTCATTTTATCTTAATGATACATAATTTAATATCAAAACAAGAAAAAAGAAAAAGGCAACAGAATGCCCAGAAAACTGAGAAAGGGACCTGACAGTCCTTTTGCCTTCTTGAGCTTAGGATTAGGACCTAAAAGGCTGAGTGGGCTTCCCTCCTAGCAACAAGGGTAGTATTGGTGTCAGGGGATACTATCGCCCCTGTGAGACTGCTAGTGACTGCCCCCCTCCTCCCTTCACCTGAAAACCGCCTTGGCCTTCACTTCCTGCTCCCCAGGGCAAGATGCTCTTCCCCAGGAGATTTCACTGGGAGTTTAGACTGAAGCTTAGGGAAAGACAGGAGTTGTAGATTGGAAGGGGCCAGCTTCCTGGGGCAGGAAGAGAGTAGTAGAGACTACATACAGTCTATCCTCCAGCTACCTATGGCCTTCTGATCCCTTTCTGGAGGTGTACCCCTCCCCTCCAGCATACAAGCCCCCCAGGGCACCTGAAAACCTTGGTTCCAGTTCCCTGGATCTCAGATCCCTGAGGAACCCCTCCCCACTTTCTATCTCAGCTGCCTTTCTGCTTGTGTCCACAGACACCTGAGGTCAGTCAGGAAAAGGTTTTTCTTCCCTTTCCAATACTTTGGGAGGGTGAGCAACCCCACAGCTACTTCTTCAGGCAGCAGAGGTTCTTAGCTCCCGTGGGTTAAAAGCCCGACAAAGAGAAACTCCAGGATCCTAGACAAAGTGAGAGGCGGAATTGAGCAAACCTGCACCCCCAAGACTATCTCCCCAAACCCAAGCTCTCCCTCCAACCCAACTACCATTCCCTTTGCTTTAACATCTCGGACACCAGCGCTAACACTGCTTTATCTCCAGACTTCCTGAGACAGGTTAGGGAAATCATTGGTTTCTGGGCGAATCAGTGCAGAGTACAAAATAGGGACAAGTAGGTACGCCTAGGGTAAAGAGATAGGCAGCAAAGAGTGAGTTCATGTAGGCCCAGAGTCATATTGCCCCCAAAGCCCTCACCTCAGTCCTCGGGAAATGAAATAGAGACCTGCTGTAGGTTGGGACCTCCAGGCACCTCCCTCCAGCCCTGCAGGCCAGGGGCAGGGGAGGGGAGGCAAAGAAGTATGCAAGACACATTTATGAGGCTGCTACATTTGCTTTCAAGGCAGGAATCTTGGTCTCTGAGCTCCCACTTGTGCTGATAAGATAAGGAAGCTCCTCATAACCTCTTCCAGATGGAGCAGGGAGAGAGGCCTGACCTCGCAGGTCTCTTCTGGGACGAAGGGCAGGTTGCAAAAGATCCAGGGACCCAGGAAACTCTGAGCTCCTAGCATTTGCATTTTCAGAATTAAATCGCAGTATTTTGGAAAGTACAGCCGGTCCACTGTTTGATTGAAGTGGGCAGGGGAGGAGGGATTATTATTGCAAAAGGATTATTATTGCATGATGGGGCAACTGTTGTTGAGAGCCAAAATCATTCGGATCTTCATCCTTCAGTGTCTTCAAAGGGTCACCTCGCCCTTAAGTGACTGCCCCCTCTGAGGCCAGCCTATCTGGCAGGAGAGAACTAGAAGGCTTATCTTCCTAGTCATTTTTCTTTCCCTGTTGAAAAAAGCCAAGGCTCCTTTCCCTGGGGAACCCACCCTGAGATTGATAACCTGGCTCTGCCTCACCTCCCTAACCAAACAGCAACGCTAGTGCCCTAAGTGTGCGGATATAACTTGAGCTGGAAGAAGCCCCAGGCTCTCCGCTGAGCCCTCGGGCCTTCCCAACTGGGACAAGAGCCCGCGCCCTACACTCAGGTCCTGGGACAGCGCAAAGTGACTCCACAAACGGAAACACTGTTATTCAAACAACCCCATTGTGTCCAAGGAGCACCTCCCGTCCAGTTCTTAAGACTGTCGGCCCTTGAGGCCCCAGTGCAGGGCGGTCTCCCCGGCAACAGTCACTACCCCCTAACAGAGCTGGTACCCCAGGCTTTGGCTAAAAAGGCTGTTAAGACAAGAGGGTCTTCTGCCAGGTTCTGGCTCTATTTAACACCAGCCACCCTCAACAGCCGGTAAACCAGAATGCGGCCTACGATCCCCGCCCAATACCTGGAACTCGCTCTGGCCCCGCCCCGCCCCGCTCCACAGCGGCACTTGGTAACAAACACTTCCACTTCCTGAGCCCTCTTTCTTAGTCCGCCGCGGGGCGCTGAGCCCAGCATAGGCTCCGCCCCCTGGCCTTTCCATTGGCTCTCACCGTTCACCCGGCCCGAACGCCCCCGTTTGTGGCCCCTGATTGGCCCGTGATGGTCCACACCCTCGACGCGGTCCCGCCCCGGGCTTTTGAGGCCGGAGGGGTTCTGGAACGCTCAGTGGCAGTGCTGGGCTGGAGTTGGTCAGCGCACCACAGTCGGGTCTTGGCGCTTTGCAGTCCGCGTTCTCGGGACGTTTGTGTTCTCGCCGGCGCGGGGATTCCTGCCGCGTTCCTTCCTGCGTCCTTCCCCCCCCCGATTCGTAGGGCAAGGGGAAAGGCTGGGCCGTCGCGTCCCGGACCCTCGACGGGACCCCGCTGCGCACCGCTGAGCCGTCGCAGCGCGAGATGAGCGCGGACGCGGCGGCCGGGGCTCCCCTGCCCCGGCTCTGCTGCTTGGAGAAGGGTCCGAACGGCTACGGCTTCCACCTGCACGGGGAGAAGGGCAAGGTGGGCCAATTCATCCGGCTGGTGGAGCCTGGCTCTCCGGCCGAGAAGGCGGGGCTGCTGGCCGGGGACCGGCTGGTGGGGGTGAACGGCGAGAACGTGGAGAAGGAGACCCACCAGCAGGTGGTGAGCCGCATCCGCGCCTCGCCCAACGCCGTGCGCCTGCTGGTAGTCGATCCTGAGACCGACGAGCAGCTGAAGAAGCTCGGCGTCCAGGTCGGGGAGGAGCTGCTGCGCGCCCAGGAAGAGCCCGGGCAGGCCGAGCCGCCGGCCGCCAACGACGCTCAGACGGACGGAAACGAGAATGAGCCGCGCGAGGCTGAAAAGAGACACTCGGAGCAGGTAGGTGGGGGTCGGGGCCGACTCCGGGTTGGGGGATCTCAGAGGGAGCCTGCTTCCGCCTGCCGACCCCAGCGCCCTGGCGGTTCCTGGACAGGCTTGGGACTAAGTCCCGGGACCCCATTTCCCTGCCCAGCCTTGTTTACTGACCTTTGGGAGAGCAATGCAAGGAAGCCTGGCCCCCTCTCCTTCGGCTTTAGTCCCGCAAAACCCCCAAACTCGTTCCTCCTTGGAGGGTGAGCCCTCCCCGGGTTCCCTACAGCTCGGAGCTAGGCGAGGAGAAGGACCTGTCTACCCCCGAGTGTCCGCTTCCTCCACCGCCCCTGTGGGTGGTAACTGAAGTTGGGGCGAAGGCGAGTGCTTCCTAACTTTAGAAAACAACTACCTATCTTCTGTGGGGAACCCTCGGAGTGAGTATGGGTCGGATCCTGGGAGGTTTACCCGCATCTCCCGCAGCCCTCTGGTGTGTATATCATTAACTTCTCCCGCGCTGGACTTCAGCCTCTTGAAATCCACTGTGACTTCTAAGAAAAGAGAGGAAGCCCCAACGTCTCTCTGAGCGACGTGTGGGGGTGGGGTGCTGGGAAGAGAAGCAGAGGAGTCTTGGGGGTGGCGGCTCTGCCACCCAGGAGGATTTATGATTCTCAGGAATGTGAGAAGTAAGCATTAGTTTGTATCAGGGAGGAGGAGGAGGAGGAACGTTGGGGGAGGGAGCAGGCACATGGCCAGGCAGCAGAGCCCACCGCGGGCAGGTGGTCTCGCTCTGGCGTTGTTTGGACCTCCAGTGCCTGGACACCAAGCGGTCAGGGTGCCGTTGCCGGCGATTGGTCTTTCTTCCAAACAGTTCCAGTTTGGATCAGCTGCAGGAGGGGCAGCCAGCAAAACAGGAGCTGTTGTGCTGAGCCTCTGTCCCCAGAGAGCAAGGGAGGACTGGATGCAGAGTGCTGGATGAGCCAGGCCTTATAAACAGGCACCATTTCTCTATTGGGTGGCAGCTTGTAGTGGGCTGTCCGTGGGGCCAGGAGGGTCCTGTTGGGATAGAGAAAAGACAGAGTTGAATTGAGTATTAACGTAGAGTGGAAGACTGAGAAGCAACTGGTTTGATGAAAGTGAGGTCACCGGCAGTCCTGTCCAGCCAGAGCCAGGTGCTGGCAATACCAGAGTCACTGCGCTCCCACTTCCTTCCATTGCCAGCTTGGCATTGGCAAGCAGCAGGAAAGAAGTTGGAGCACCCTGGCAGGGATTTGACCCTGGGATATTGGAACCTGTGACCTCTGTGCCCAGGCATTAACCCAGTTTGAACTTTGAACTGAGACCATCGATTTGTCATTCTCTTTTTTTATTTCTCCTTTGGACTTTGGCATCCAGACAATATCCCCATCACCACCACCAAGTTACAGTCATGTTCAGCTCCTCCCTTTGCCCTTTTAGTGCTGCTGGATGCCAGAAGGCCTGGGAGAGGTTAATGTAGAGACATGGCGGCACACACACTTAATCATCCCATCCAAAATGGCACTGGGCTTGGGGCTCCTGCTTTAGGGGAGCCCAGAGTCGGGTTCCTCCAGATGGTGGGGTGACCCAGACATTTGTGTGTGTTCATTGGGCTGGAGACAGGAACACCATCACCACACAAGTCAGGTATTCTCTGAGATTTGATTCTCCCATCCATAAAATGGGGGCATTGGACAATGAGATACTTGGCTTTTCTAGAATTTTAGAAATAATGGGGGTAAAAAAAAAAAAAAAAAAACAAAGAATGGGAGTACTGGTACTCCTCCTAGATGCTACGCTGGGCTAGGCATTTGGATACAGGTCTGGTCAACCAACTCCTTCAGCCTTATTCATAGCCAGTTGACAGTGCTAAGCCTTTAGTAGAAGATTCTGATATACTGAGCTTGCTGGTGACCCACCTGATACCACAGCAAATGTCCATAAACATTGTGTTATCTTTTTTTTCAAAAATGCATTCCACAGCCAGACATGGTGATGCACGCCTGTAATCCCAGCACTCAAGAAATTGAGGCAGGAGAATCACCACAAATTCAAGGCCAGCCTGGGTCACATAGTAAGTTCAAGGCCAGCCTAAACCACATAGTGAGACCCAGTCTCAAAATAAATAAATAAGTTAAAATAAAACGCATTCCTTTCTAAGGCATCTGTTGAAACTTGCTAATTAGTTTCAGCCAGAATTTATTTGTAGGTTGAGGCTGTTTCAGTATCTTGATCAGTGAAGAAGGTAGGTGTGGAAAAGTGCTGGGCAGAGATTGTTTGGCTGGGTGGCATCTTGTCTGGGGGACCAGCCCAGGTCAAGAATGGCACAGGAAGAATGTGAGAGTATCCTGGAGCGGTGGCCATTCCTGCTGACCTGTCTAGGTCCTAGGAGGTGAAAGTGGGCTTCCCACCTGCCCCGAAGTTTTGAGGACAGTGAGAAGCAGAAATAACCTGCCCTGCTGCTTCCCTGCTGAAAGCTCTCTTCCCAACCCCCACCAGTATAGGAGGAGGCCTAAACCCTTGAGTTTGGGACCAAAGCAAGGGTTGGGCAGGTCTGAACCAGCTGAGCTGCACTGGCCGGGCTGCCTCAGCCAAGTTATTTCACTTGCCTATGCTTCCATTTTCTCTTGTGTAAGTTGAGGCTGAGGGCAGTGACCTCACAGTTAGGGTTATAGGCCCAGTGCTCAGAAGGGCTCAGTAGGCACTGTTTAATAGTTACCTGCTCTTCCATGCCCGTCTCCATCTGGCAGCCCTTATTGATCCCCTATGGCACCCCAAAGATCCAAATTCCCTTTTAGCCCCTGAGCCATCACACCCTGATATTTCTGATATTCTGGAGTCTGGAAATCCTCTGCATGCACCAGGCTTATTCTGCAAGACCGCTTGGTTCCCTGGAACCTTTCCCTGGTCCCAGAGGCAGAGGTGGCTTTTCCATTCCTCCTGTTCTTTGTCCTTGTGTCTCGCTGGCTTCTTGAAACCAGGCAGTATTTCAGTGATCTCTTCATGACTTCCTCTGCTCCTGAGGACAACTGAGGTTTATTTGTGTGGATGGCCCCAGGTAGGAAGGTTCTCAGTAAACACTTTTTAATGAATGAATGAACACATGACAGCTTGTAAGGGGCCTTTGTCCCAGTTCATCCCAGTCCAGCACACCTGGGCTTGTTTGTCTCCCAGCACACCCAGGATCGGAATGCCAGGTACTTGCTCTTTCTTGCCTGCTAGCAGCTTCCATTTCAAAACTACGAAGCCAAGTCTAGGTTTTGGGGTGACTAGAGTAGCGTTTGAATCCCAGATCTGCTGATTGCTGCCTCTGGAACCTCCAAGCCTCAGCTTCCACCTCTGTAAAATCAACAGCAGCATCTACCCCCTCAGATGCTGGGAAGATAACCGGAGATGACAGGGCAGAATGAAAATTCCCAGCTTGAGGCAGCTTCCCCAGCCTCGGCCCTGGACTTGACTCCAGAGGCAGAGAGTGCGGGCACCCGTGGTAGGGCAGTGGGTGGGCATGGGCACAATTAGTTGGCAGGCTGCCTACTTCTTTCCCAAACAACCAGGTTGCCACTTTGGTAGGTCAGAGCAGGGTTTGAGCTGCCGGGTGCTTGGGTTTGAAATGGGCAGGCTTCCATGGCAGCTGTGTGTGTTGTTCCTAAGTCACAAGGCCAGAGATAAAACAGCAGAGCTCCTGGTTCTTACCTTCAGGCTCCTGTTAAGTTAAATCAGTCATTCTGGAAATTATTCTCTTGGAGGCAGAAAGTAAACAACTTGCTTCTTAAGGAATCCCAGGTAGATAAGGGTCCTTCCCCAAATTTCCTGTATTTCCTCCATAGCAACCCTGCAAATTAGGGATCATTTTTTCTGTTTTGTAAGTTGCCAGTAAGCATTTGATACATAACAGGCATGATTTGAGTCTAGGGAAGTGCTAAGTACTAAACATGCCTTATGTCATTTATGCACATGACCCACCCCCACCCCAAGCAGTTAGAGACCGAGGCTCAGGTTAGGTGGCCAGCCTCAGGACTCTTGGTTAGAGAACCCTCTAGCAAAACCAGGTATCTTAGTTCTTAACCCAGATTGTAGGGTGTGCACATCCTTCGGCCACACAGGTTGTACCTGGCCTTCCAGCTGAATCTCTTTACTCTCTTAACCTTTGGTTTGGCTTGGTTTGGTTTGAGATGGGTCTCACTACGTAGTTCACTGAGACAAGAGTTCTCGCTGGCTTTGAACTCACTGTGTAGCCCAGGCTGACCCTGAACTCACTATAATCCTCCTGCCTCAGCCCCCCAAATGCTGGGATTACAGGTGTGCACCACCATGCCCAGCTCACTATCCATTATATTCTTTTTTTTTTTGTACTGGGGATCAAATTCATGACTTTGTACTTGCCAGGTAGGCACTTACACTGCTGAGCTAAATCCCTGGCTCCTATCCATTATATTCTGAGGTACACAGAACCATGACGGGCACATATGTTCAGGTTGCTGGGGGCACAGCATAGTATCTCAGAGGTGGAACACTTGCCTAGTGTGCACAGGCCCCCTGGATTCAATCCCCAGCAGTGGGGAAAATAAAAAAAGACATTCAGGCTACTTGCCAGTTTCCTGTAGAGATCTAGGTAGCTGGCCCCTATTTGGAACCAGGGACTCTAATGTATGTGCTGCCGAAGCAGGCACAAGAGGCCAGGGATTCCAGATGCTCTGTCCCCAACAGAAGGGGCATGCTTCTGTGCCCATTCTCATGGACTGCACTTGGAGTCCATGAGAACCAAGTCTCTGCCCTTTCTGGCTGACTCCTGGGCTCCCTTGCAGCACCAAGAGCCCCCTGGAGCCATCCACTGCAGCAGGACAATTTGTCATGGCCACCAATGGTGAGGTCATGTTTAGGTTCCTGGTCTTAGAAAAGAACACATGCTATCACCCAAGGTCAGGTCACCTCGGAGCAGCATGGTAACATGCAAAGAACATTGGCCAAGTTCAAGCCCCACTCATGGTTCAGCAGCTGAGGTTAGAGTTCTA